ACAAAAGTTCAAATTTTTTTTATAAAAAATGAGAAAAATGGTATCATATTATGGTACTATGGTACACTTGAATTGCATTCGAAAACCCACTCTCTTTTTTGGGTATTTTTGTTTTCACTTTTCGGCTGCTTGTTAACAACCAAAATAAAAAATAAAAAATAAAAGAAGAAGAAGATAAAAGTGAGATATATCATATTATGGTTACTATGGTACACTTGAACTGAACCCAGCACATTAATTTTGGATTTCTTTAGCTTAATTGTCTATCTGAGATAGCTTTCTTTCATATCTTTTTTCACAGTTCATAGCCGATCATTGTGGTACTTTGAATATTGCTGTTGGTGTGTGTACACACAAATTTACTATCTTTTTGGGCTAATCATACAATTTGCTATCTGTCTTAGCCTTTTTCTGTGCAAGTTTTTCTTATTTATCCTGGTCCTTCTTTTCTTCTCAAAGTACATTGCTTGTTAACTTGCAGCATTTAGGTACACAAAGAACCAGTACAATGTGTTTGAGGTAAACCAGACTGGGTATGACAACTGCACCTTGGACAGTGCTGTAGGGAACTGGAGCAGTGGCAAAGACTTCATACCCCTCAATCAGGCCAAGAGGTATTACTTCATTTGTGGCAATGGTCAATGCTACAATGGCATGAAGGTCTCTGTTGTTGTCCATCCTCTGCCTTCACCACAGGCTGCCCCAAGTGCCCATAATTCTTCATCAGATTCTGCTGTCCTGGTTGTTCCTCGACAGGGATTTCGGGCCTTAGCGGTTTCTTTGGCAATGCTGTGCTTTGGATTCGGATGGGTCTAGTTCTTGTGGTGTGTTTTGGTTGTGGAAGCTAGTGTAACTCAGGGAAGTGTACAATTTATTCTTATTTGTTCTCAGTTTTAAGCTTCTCTTTTTTTCCTTAGTTGATGTTCTTTGGACATTTACATTATATGATTTGGGTTGAACTCTTGTGGTTTTTTTCCTTTGTCCCCTCGACTGTATTGCCTAAACTTTGTTTCAAATTAGCAAAACTTACAATTTGATCATCCTTCAACTATTTTAATTACCGCTCTGAAACTTTACAATTTTGACTTTCTGTTTAGGTTTAGACCAACACCCTGTCTCTTGAGTTGCCTCCTTAGGCATCCAAACTAGTTTAATAGGAGCGCAGGCTTCACTGTTATGACCAAAGACTTGTCAGTGACTACATTGTGCTAGCTTCCAAGACTAATCTACCATAGGCACATCAAATATTCTCCATTTCCAGTTGCAACTGATGTAGGCAGTTCTTCAGCTGCATCTACTTCGACATTGAGGTGTCGAATAATCGAGCCTTATTCTTTGCATAGTAATGCTGTTCATTCAAAAAGGTTCCCATGGTAATAGTTTTCCATGAGCTTTGCCTTCTCATTGCCCAAGCATTACTG